TAAAGTCCTATTCTATTATTCCATGCTAATGTATTCCGGCGCAAGCCTGCCTGGAACACTCTAATTTTCTCAAGGTAAAATATCTGAGCCCGAGACCAATAAATGAATATCAGAAACGTTAACAGAAGGATGGAAGGGCGCCGCTGCACACGAAACAATCGGACATTGGCACCCCTCCAGAAATCCAACTACGAGCTTTTTAACTGCAACAACTTTAATATACGCTATTGGAGCTGGAATTACCGCGGCTGCTGGCACCAGACTTGCCCTCCAATTGATCCTCGTAAAGGGGTTTAAATTCTACTCATTGCAATCCCGAAACATAGGCTTCGGTCCGTTATTTCTTGTCACTACCTCCCTGAGTCAGGATTGGGTAATTTACGCGCCTGCTGCCTTCCTTAGATGTGGTAGCCGTTTCTCAGGCTCCCTCTCCGGAATCGAACCCTAATCCTCCGTTACCCGTGAACGCCATGGTAGTCCAATACACTACCATCGAAAGCTGATGGGGCAGAAACTTGAATGATGTATCGCGGGCAAAGCCCATGCGATTCGATCAGTTATTATGAGTCATCACAATAGACACAAGGAATATTGGTTTGTTATCTAATAAATACAGCCCTTCCTAAAAGTTGGGCTTAACAGCATGTATTAGCTCTAGAATTACCACGGTTATCCATGTAAATTCGATTATCAAATAAACTATAACTGTTTTAATGAGCCATTCGCAGTTTCACTGTATAACATTTATACTTAGACATGCATGGCTTAGTCTTTGAGACAAGCATATGACTACTGGCAGGATCAACCAGATTACTATCTTCAAGCAATACTGCTCAACAGTCCCGAGAGACAAGAGAGCAGCAAAGCAAGGGTAGTTAGGTTTTTAAAAGGGGTTGTATGATCCTAGCAGCAACATCTAGAAGCAAAGCTCTGGAGTCGCTGAAGGACTTGTGCTTTCATGACTTGCAACCAACTAGAGGACGGCTCGTAAAGCGCAGATGAGAGAACTCAAGTGCAGTTTAAAAGCCATACTCTTAAGTGCAAACTTACTTCCGCCTGGGCGTTACGTCCAGGGTAGAAGCAGGATTTGCTCATAGTTGAATGTTAGACACTATTCACACACAATCATACAATAATCCGCTTTTCCCTCTGAGAGGGTCTCACATACAGCTACCGCGCTTATCACGCAGTAGCCGGCTGTCATAAAAAATATGATTGTGCTATGAAGGGTCAAGCTGAACCATGTTCAATGAAAGCTTTATATCTTTTTTCACTTTCACTGTAATCGGGCTGATTGCTCATTCCGATTGATTCAGTTTTACTGCCTCATATATATGGTATTTTCGACTTCTGTAAGAGTTGCGAGGGATTACACCTCAATTCTCACAAAATCTCTAAGTCCCAGAACACCCTCAAAATGACCCTCAGTATGGTGATATCAAACCGAGGCAGAGTAACGGTGCCAGATGCAAGAGGAAGCGAGATAATGATGATTCCGGACCATTTTTAGGGTCTGGGCTTGAAGGTTCCTCAGCTACTAAATAGGCCCTTGAGCCTAAGGCTGATCATACCTCAAGTCACATACCCACACTTCAGATAGCCTCGTCTGCTACTGGAAACACGCATATTCCGACTTGAGCGATACCACGGTAGCTCATCTGACTCTCAGAGGAGTGCAGTTGAGTAGAGTGGTGGGCAGCTCAAGCTTCTGGAATTCCATATTAAATAGCTGTTAACCTTGAACTTCAGGGCATTCAAGCACATGACAAGTCATGGTTGTGCACTCCCCGAAATCACTTAGTCAACTCTGCTAATTCACATGGGCGTGTAGCCTATAGCATCTACTACTATCCTGGAGGTATCCGCCGGTCATCTAAGGCCTCTCTGCATAGGGATTAGTGATTGTCAAAGTCACCATACATTTTCGTGATTTTTCTTCATACTGGAAAATTTAATTAATTATATCCCTAATAAAATTTAGTAAATTAAAATGTCGTTCGGGAAAATTATTACCTTGCAGGAATATCGCATTCCGTAGAGTTCTCTTCGACACCGTACACCCAGCAGTGCGCATCTACTGGAATCGTGAGACCTTGAGGTGCTGTAGGTGTCCGTGTAAGAGACCAATTTTGTTTGTTCGGTGTTTATAGTGTATTCACTCGATCAATGTCATTTTAGCAGGCTGGCACATCACGCCTCGGCACCCTCACTCACTCAGAGAATCATTGTTTTCTCTATTGTTTCCGTGAGAGCATCTCTGATTGTTACTGGGGATGCTTAGAGTACCATATGATCTATCATCCTCTGATTGCAGAATATATAATCTTGTCGATTCAGTGTATGAGTATTGTTGATCTTTGAAAAGGTAGATGATTTTTCGTTTTCGTCTCAACCATTAATTTATCATTTCAAATTTTAAATTATAATTCACTCAATTCAATCTCAATTATTCATGGGGTTTTGGGGTTTTGGGGTTTTGGGGTTTTGGGGTTTTGGGGTT